TTTTACATTACCACCATCACAGCTTCCACCCTACTTATTATTTAATACCAATATTTAAAGATTTTGACAAAAACACTTCAGTTTATAGAAATGAATTTAAATTATATGCAATATGTTCATATTTCGCGAGTTATGACCCTGCAAACCTCAGTTTCAAGGAATTTAAAAGATTTTTGTAATTTCCCATATACACATACCATTCTGAAATGAATAAAACGTTGCATGTCAAACGGGCAGACTTCGATTCTTTGGTGTACAATTTGTATGAAATCGAGTACAATTTTGTATGGGGGCTATATATAAACATATGGACCTAATTGAGCAACCGTTGCATACACTATTTGTTTTATTTATCACTCAATATTCAATTTAATACCCTTTGTCAAATTTCGTGTAAATCGAACAAACATAGGCCCTTCGGGACACCATTTACATGAAATGGAAAGAAAATATATAAGACCTATATCAAAATCAACAAACCTTATCACACATATTTTTTTCCTCAATTGCATTCGCTATGCTCAATCGAACAAATATTGGGAGTTTGGTGTATCATTCACAAAAATCGGATGAAATTATATCTGAACCGATTTTAACATAACTTCGCAGACATCAGCCTGGACCTAATTCAGTACTCTGTGCAGAATTTTGTCCCAATCGGGCAAATATTGGGTGTTTGGAGCATCATTTACATAAAATCGGACGAAACTATATATGGGAGCTATATCTAAATCTGAACCGATGTCCTCCAATTTCAATAGGGTTCGTCCGTGGACTAACTATTTGAACTGTGCCAAATTTCATCCAAATCGGAATACATGGACGGGCGGACGTACGGACGGACAGACGGACATGCGTAAATCGACTCAGAAAGTGATTCTATGCATATTGTCAAAAGGCACCATGGGCCTATCACGATTCCTTTTGCACAAACATATGCACAAAGACATAATACCCTGTACCACAGTGTGGTGAAGGGTATAAAAATGGAGAGGATCATTATAATAACATTCTCCGCACTGGCATTTTTGATATGAATAGTTAAGGTGGAAAGTGAATTTTAAACAACTAGAGATCAATGCTAATTTATTATTTGAATTCTTTTGAGTTTCAGAACCCAGTGCCACAAGATATTTTAGTGATTTTGGCACCAATTGACATCACGTTGTGTTCTCTGTACCGAATTATATGACCATATGCAACCACTCATAAACTTATAAATATAGTCGTTAAAAATTGCATGTAAAAATTTAATTTAAAAAAAGAGTTAGGAAATTAGAAAAGTAAACCGGGACCTCACCACTTGGGGTATATTCAACAGTTGCATTCTAAAAGAAGTCGCATTTTTTTAATATAGTTAACATGAAATTGGATAAACTAAAATATGTGATCTTTATCTAAATGTGAATGGACTTAGATCATTCCATAAACATGTGACTCTGCAACAATACTCAATCGGACATCCGTTGATTATTTGGGGTCCAATTAACATGAATTCGGTCGAAAATATATATGGGCGATATCTTTGTAAGTTTTGCAAAATTTCGTACCAATCTGGCAAACATAAGGAGTTTGGAGCACTATTTACATAAAATTGGACGAAAATGTATATGGAAGCTATATCCAAATCCGAAGCGATGTGAGAGCTAGGCACAAGTGTGCCTATACTAACTTCAGTACGTTGTCGGACGGAACTTTATCTATATCTGAACCGATTTCAACGAAACTTTACAAACATTAGGTTATATTACCTTCAGTATGTTGTACAAAATGTTGCGGCAATCGGCCTAACTTTGTTTCTTTGGTGCACAGAGACTCATAAAAAGTAATATAGATCCACGTTGTTACAAACTCCAATCTTAACCGAATTTGGTATTTTGTTTCAGTTCAATTCATAAGGTAATTTATTTTGAAAATTGTTGTTAATATGAGTGGTTTATTTTGAAAGTGGTTAAAGTCCATTTTAGATTCAGATACAAATATTGGTTTTCTAGAAAATTTTACAAATCTTATTAAGCTAAGTATACTATCTATCAAAAAAATGAATACCACTTAACAATATTTTTGCAGCAAATCAAACCCAAACCTTCAAATATCTCAATATAAGAAAAAACGAATAAGCTAGGAAAGGAAATATAAAATAAACCAAAAAATAATTATTAGGTATTTTAGAGGACAACCAGTAAGGAAAGTAGTAAAGTCGGACGGAACCGATTTCAATGATACTTGCCAGAGATTATCTTATATTAACTACAGTTCACTGTAACAAATTGTGTGGCAATCGGACAAACTGTGGTCCTTTAGTGCACAATTTACATAAAATCCGAAGAAAAGATATATAGCAATTATATCTAAGTCTGGCCCGATTTTCACGAAACTTAACACACATCATTCTAGATCTTATTCATTACGCTATGCCGTGCAAATCGAAAGATATATATATTGACATTGGTGCACCATTTACATTAAATCGGAGGAAAATATATATGGGAGCTATATCTACATCAGAACCAATTTTCCGGAGACTTAACACACATCATTCTAGACCTTATTCAGTACACTATACCAAATTTCGTGCAAATCGAAAGATATATATTGACTTTGGTGCACCAGTTACATTATAGTAAGTTTACATTTAACCGGATTTCGTTAACCCAGTGGGTTTCAATTGTCATTTCCTTTGCATATATGCCAAATAAATCCTCATAAAGTAGGTTAACCCGGTAAAAAGTTGTAATGTGCAAGGAGTTTTAAATCGAACGAAAATATATATAGAAACTTGACACACATCAGTCTAGACCTAATTCATTACGCTATGCCAAATTTCGTGCAAATTGAAAGACATTTAGGGACATTGGTACACCATTTACATTAAATCGGACGAAAATATATATATGAGCTATATCTAAATCTGGACCGATTTTCAGGAAACTTAACACACATCATTATAGAACAAATCGAACAATAGAACGATCGAACAAAAGAACGATCTATAGCGACTTTGGTACACCATTAACATTAAATCGGACGAAAATATGTATGGGAGCTATATCTAAATCTGGACCGATTTTGAGGAAACTTGACACACATCAGTCTAGACCTAATTCATTACGCTATGCCAAATTTCGTGCAAATCGAAAGATATATAGGGACTTTGTTACACCATATACATTAAATCAGACGAATATATATATATATAATATATATAAGAGCTATATCTAAATCTGGACCGATTTTCAGGAAACTTAGCACACATCATTCTAGACCTAATTTAGTACGCTGTGCGAAATTTCGTGCAAATCGAGAGATATGTTGGGACTTTGGTTCACCTTTTACATTAAATCAGACGAAAATATATATGGTAGCTATATCTAAATCTGAACCGACTCTTCTCAATTTTAATAGGGTTTAATAGGATTTGGCCCAAGGACAAATAAGTGACCTATGCCAAATTTCATTCAATTCGGATCATAAATGTACTTTGTTTACAATTTAACATTTATGAATCCCTTAGAGCACCTGTGGTAGTATTTGGGTAGATATATTCAAAAAAATATATTAGCAACATAACATTCTTTAGATTAAAGGGGATAAATCTGAATCTATGAGGGGATCGGCTAACGGAAAACTAGTTAATTCGATACCTTCACGTTAAATTAGGATTTTTAAAGCTAAGGGTTACAAAAATAATATTTAATAATTGATAGTGCAATGAAATTTATTTAGAAAAAATAAACAATATAAAATAAGAATATCTAATCTCACAGTCTCATTTATTAGGTATTCCAATTTCGAGATCACGTAATTGAACATTACATGGGTATTGAAATGAAACGATCTATGTGCACAACTAGGAATAGGTATATCCCCAGCTCCAACACTTTTATGAACCTAATTTTAAAGACATTCCACGCTTTGCGATTTTAAACTATATTGTAACATAATTATTAGATTATTTAAACAAAAATATCCTCAACAAATATACTCTAATAACCCGCATGCCATACCTTAGAACTTGAGCCACAATATCAATGACAAGGGACAAAATACATCCTAATTATTTTTTCCTTTTTATTAGTTAAAAATTAAAATTTGTAATTATTTCACATTCCGAAAAATCTTAACTTTCCAAAAATTTATGATGAAATTAATGGAGGGGGAAATGTGATGACAAATGGTGTGAATATTTCTTTCTGTGGCTATCAATTCGTATGATTAAAAATATCTGATTACAATATGATAATTTATTGAACCTAAAATGATTCAATTACAATACAAATGCAGTTGATAACTTAAGAGCGTTTAATTATAATAACTGATAAGAAGAGATAACTCTGTCTCAAAACAAAAGAACTCTTCTTAATTCAATGTGAATGCCTTAAAAATCCCCCTCCCAAACAAACTCCAAACAAAATTAGAGCGCAACTCAGTTGAGAACACTGTGAGTATCACTTAAATCGAACAGATTCAATATAAACCAAATTTAATGTACTAAATTTCAATGTATGTGTGGGTGTGTCGGTGTGTCTTCGTTTCGTGAGTATGTACTAACAAAATTGTGAGCTGGCAAATCATTGACCAAATCGAGAGCAGCATCGAAGATATGCACATACACACAAACCCCACACATTGTTAATACGTTGTACTCATCCTCATCCCAGCATCGTGACGACGATGATGATGATGCTTGCGCTGATATTCTTGTGACTCGTTAAAAACTCAATACGAAGAATTCGAAATTCGAATACCACAAACTGAGAATCAGTTCACACATATAAATGTGACCAGCCGAGAACTGTCAGTAAACATTCCTGTTGCAACAATCAAAGCCTAAGGATTAAACAGCTCAGCATTTGTTTTTATTAACAGCGAATATTGTGAAACGCCAAAATAAAACGAGAATACAAACAAACAAAAATTAAAATAAATTAAACGAGAATATAAAGAAAAAAATAAAATCAACTACTTTTAGTGTTTTACTAATTTCAAGAATAAAACCAAATAAAAGTGCAAACATGAATAAAAGCGTGATTGTGTTCTTCACAATTGTGGTGAGTAAAATTTGAAAAGGATTCAAAAATAAAAACATTACAAAAAATGTGAAAAATAAATGGAACTGAAAGAAGTGGACATGAAAATCAAAACTTGATATTTGTAATGTGCTAATAACATGTATTGCGAACATTGATCATATAACCCATAGTGCAAATTGAAGTGAAGTGAATTCCGAATTTTTTGTATAAATTGGCAAAGATTATTTAAAAATGTGTACGATTCTTTAGAATACTTTAAAATTGTTAATAGAAGATTGAAGGAAAAGTGGGGTTCGGAAGTTCATAGCTTAAAAATGTACATTTATCACTTCGAAGTTGTCATGTATATTTATTTCAAAATATTTATTACTTTACATTTGCATATTATGCTGACATTGAATAAGTACAACAATTCTGAAATATGTAATGCCGTACAAATAAAGTGGAGGTCCCAAGATTTACAAGAAAATATCAGATATATTTCGAATTTGTCTTACTTAAAAATTTCATTGCCGAACAATACAAGGTAGAAAGGCGTTTAAAAAATAATTAAGGAAAGAATTGTTGAAGGAGAAAGTTTTCCTTTGTGATACCATACACAACTACCATCAGAATCTATTTTCAGCAGATATGAATCCTAAGACTAAGACAGTTCCTATTTCATACACTGACAGATTCTCCGGATCCTGTCTTTCACTAATAAACATTTATATGAACAAGGTTGACTTGACCTGATAAATGCTTATTCATTGCCCAGAGCCCGTGCTATTTGTAAATGTTTGTGGTGTTCGGGTCCTATAATGACCATAAAAGGTCTCGGTCTTAAATATAAATAAGATTATATATTGGTTAGGATCGGTACCGACAAACGTGACTAGAGAAGACCAAGCTAAATTTATTTAGTTATTAGAGATCGGTGTACCAAGAGGTGGGTCTGGCGCCAAAGCATACCTATAATAATATTTTATTCTTTAGTGTTATTGGTGGTTTGAACTGAACAAAGTCCACTTAAAAGCAAAATTTGCTACCATATGGGGTCGGAATGTGAACGTGAATTGATTTGTTTTCAGAAATTTCAGACGATCAGAAATTCTCATGAAGAAAACAGCAATTAGATTCCATTTTGTCATTTTGAACCTCACCAAATAACCGCCGCGATATATTCATTTAAATATCATAAATGTCCTTTTGCTATCTCAACCTAATAATTTTGAGATTTTGAAATGTATGTATACCACCAGCCTTAAGGCGATATATCGTTTCTAGACCCCATGTGTCATTGGACCAAATCTCTTGTAGTCGATTTAGAAACATCCACGAGTCGGTCTGTTTGGCTGGCTGACATGTGCGAACGATAACATCAGAATGAAGTATCCATCCACTCGCTCTTGTACCTTAGCCCGAAAATTGTCCAAGTTTTGCTGAAACATAAATTTATAATATTACGTGAATGGTGTATCCGACTTTATATCCAAAGATAGAGCCTATCAGTCCACACCTTTGGATACCTCTCGCGATATCCCATACAAAGGGTCGACTTTTAGAGAACTTGTAAATTTCATATGAATCGAATGGAGTAGGCGATTAGATTCATCAATATTTTTACCAAACTAATATAAATTCCGAAGATGGATTCTGTTAGACTACTCCTCCTGCTAGGCACAGACAAATGGATTGCTGTAATTATACATGTATACAGTCCACTAGGTATTCGTAGTCGAGTGCAAAAGTCGACTTTTGAATTTTTGCCTCTGACTAAAAATTGATTTTAGGCTTTTTGATTTTTGCTTTGACTAAAAAGTCGACTTTTAAATTTGTCGATTTTGTCAAAGCTTTTCAAAATCAATACAATTTCGGAAATAATTTCGTTCACAGGGCAGATTTAATGTACATTTCATATATGTAATGATACCGATTATAATATATCGCCCTATGGCGAATAAATTTATTGCATCATTTCGCGTATATGAAAACTGAATTTTCGAAGGGGTGGTTACACCAACAAATAAACGTCATACTCTGGCATTAAATTAATTATGTGTTACCCTACCTATCTCCAATAAAATTTATGTATGTAATTATACAACAATTACTTATATGACAAACTAAACACACACATATATATATATAGAGGCCAAAAACCTCATAAGTCTTTTAGTTAAACATTCACTAGCGGAAGCTAAGGAGTCATAACAAATAAAATTAACAATTAAATATTGGCCAGTGGATATAATAAATCTTTTACGGAAATTAATAAAATATTCATACAACTCTTGATATTTACAGAAGCACAGCAACAAATAAAAATAATACAAAAAAGTTGCATAAAAACCAGAAAATATTTCAATGAAATTTCCAAAACAAAATTCTTAAAGTAATTTATATGAATGCAGACATTCTTTGGACATAATAATATTAATTACTTATTTTGAAATAATGTTAATTAAAATTCCACCACCAAAAAAAAGAAACAAAAAAAACAGAAGAAACACTCCCAGAATGTATACAGTTTCTAATTTAATTTAAGCTGTGATTTGGTTTTAAGCACCCCCTCTATTAGAAAAAAAAAAATAATAATAATAACATTAAACCGGAACCAACCAAACGGTTTGTAGCGTCACTTCATTCGAACACAATAGAAGAAGAAGAAATAAAATCTTTGTTATCAGTTTAAATATCGTCGCCAAAATTAAAAATCACATAATAAAAAAATTATTTTCAAAATAACCCATAATTGTGGACATTCACACATTTTTTTTATTTTGAGTTTGAAAAATATTTGTACGGTTTTTTTGGTTGCTTTACAAGTTCAAGAGCTTATCAGTTCTTGTTTGTTGGTTGAAAACAAAATGCAAAAAAATGTATGTACATACATATATTTCAAAATTTAATTAGCCTATTCTACAAGATACCCATATATTTTTTTAATAGCATAACACAAAGATAAGCTTCTTGAAATCTGTTTTACGTAGTTCGTTGGCCTGTGACCGCCGAACCTTTTTTCATTTCACACGCCATGCTAAATTATTGATAATCGGTATTAAATATCACATTTGTTTGAAAGTGAAATCCGAAAAAGAAGCAAAGAAAACCAAAAACAATTAAATGACAAACAACACTCCCGTTCGTGTTTCGTTTATTTACCTCTGGCAACTTGATTTAAATAAATGATGATATAGTTGTTAATATTTATAAATATTATGAAAAAAAAAACCAAAACATGAACATGTTGTTAGTTATTAATGTCAGCATTTCATTAGTTACGTTTGAAGTTGGAATATGTTGGCGATCTTTTGTTAATTCTGCAATTTTTACAAATATTGGATTTTAAAATTAAATTATGGTACAAATTACAGTAAGGTATTAGGAAATGGTTGCTTGAAGCTTGATGTAGAAAGGTTTTCGAAAGGTTTTATGTATGTCAGTACTTATGCTCTTATATACTGGCAACTTCACCGTAACAATTAATCCGAAACATTCACGCTATAGAATGACAAATTCGGTATTTTTCTCACATATGACGTTGTCTATTTACCTCCATAAATATTTACTTAACGTAAACTCCGAGCTAATTTTGCCTTATATTTGCGCCCTCTAGTCTACTGGAGTCTATATTTAATTTAATGTAGTTAGGTATTTTAGGTTCTCATTGAAGAACACATATCCGTACATAAAATTATTAATATTGAATCAAGTTTCAGGGTTGCCCCTATATAAAGGTATATCCCAATATTCGGTATTTTGGTGATCTTGGACATGTTTTCCAACCGAATTGGCTATAATTTTGTATTTTGGGTTCTCATTATGTAGGACATCTCCGTACCAAAAATTATAAATATTGACCCAAATTTCAGGATTCCCCCATATAACGGTATTTGGTATTCTAGTGATTTTGGACACGTTTTCCAACCAACATAGCTGTATTGTTGTATTTAGGGTAGCCCCCATAATATGGCACCCCTTAATATGGAGATTTCTTACCAGTTTTTCAATCAAATTGGCTGTAATTTGGATTCTCATAACGGTATTACCACATCTCCGCACTAAAAGTTTTAATTATTGACCCAAGTCGGTATTTTGAGAATTTTAGACACTTTTTCAACAGACTGTATATCTCATTACCAAAAAATATCAATATTTATCTCTGTTTTATTGTAGCGGTAGACCCACTGATAGATTTTTTGACAATTTAAATCATCCTTTGAAATCACGATCGAACTTTGATATTTCCCACATACATTGTTCCTTCCCCTAGAACATTCAATACATAGGTCTACGTTTTCGCATAATCTCCATACAATGGGACTGTAATTTATCGTTTCATGTTCCCAGAGGGTAAAATACACATGTTCGCAAATTTTTCAATACAGATTTATATTTTGACATAGCGCCCATGTAACGTGCCTGCAAATTTTTCCCATTTTGATGGTCCTATTCCCAGTTTCCAAACGAAGTGTCTGAAATTGGCATTTCGTGTTCGAAAACAAATTTGCTAAATATTTTGAATATTGGTTCATGTTTTGACATTTCGCGCATATAAAGGTCATAACCCAATTTTATATATTTTTATATAAATGTGTATATAAGTTTTTCAACTGAAATAATTGTTATTTAGCTATCGGTAATGAATATGGATTAAAAAATTCTTCACAGAACTTGTTCAAAATGTGTTTATTTATTGACAGTATGTTGAAGGTCCTAGTCAAATTTTCCAACCAGGCTTTTGACATGTCAATTATAAAGTCCTCATAGCATTCTGCAAACCATAGGAGACATCCTCACAACAAATGTCGACGATTGTAGGAGTTTTTGAGTGGTTCCTATCTATATATTCGAAGTCCAATTTGGCATTTTTCGTTATCTTAAGATATGTGTGGTACCATCACATTTCTAATTTGGCTTCCCCATGGTGGAGAGTAAAAAACAATTCAGCTCGAGTGAACTCACCACCACTTTTACTCGTTTCAATTGTTAATGGAATAATTAAATGTAGATTAACAAAAAAACTTGTTTATTACTGAATTCCTTAAATTGTTGTCTATTTGTGTGTTTTATTTATAAAAAAGCAGCACACCACAGGCATACCGCAATGCAGTCAATAACCTAATGCACACAGCGCATGTGTCTGAAGTCTTTTGTATTTTTGGCATTTGTTAATTTTTTCTCATATTCTTTTAATATATTTGGTAGACATAAAAATAAAATTTGGATTTTCATGACAAAATACCGTGAGATGAACAAATCAATTATCAAAAAATATTTATTGAACCGTTATAAAAACAAGTTTCAATGATGAATTAGGTTATACAAGACGGTAAATTTTATTTATATTCGATGTGGGAAATAATTTTAAAGAAGTTGACACAAATTTGTAAAAAAATGGACGAGATACATTTTGGGAGTATTTAAAATCAATCAGGTCATATGTTGTTGATTTATAAAAAAATTGTGTAGAATAGTTATAAAGGATTCAAAATTAAATTAACAGTTTTTTCATTTCACTTATTTATTTTTTTTTTTTATTTTACTTTTATATTCAAATTTATTTATTATGAGTTTTTTATTATTATTATTTTTTTTAATTTCAGGCCACCGCTATTGCTTTGAGCAGTGCTGCACCCGCTAAGGGCGATAACGGCAAGTATAATGTTTCAGGTCGCAATGATGGCAAATATCATCCAGTAGATGATGGCAAATATCGTCCAAGGTCAAATGATGAAGGTATTATATCAATGATGGTTTACCACTTTCCACTTTGATTAATACAACAACAAAAAGAATTTGAATTCTTTTTTCCTCTAAACAACTATGTTGCTATTTATATTCGAAAATATTTATATTCTATTTATATTCGAAAATAGATTGCTGTTTAATATGTTTCTAAAGAAAAAAGGTTTACAGAATATTGCATGTGAATATTGGCTTTAGTTTTAATTTCGCTTTTGATTTTCTAATCTAATGTAGAAGAAGAAACAAAAAATCAGTTGTAATATATTGTAAATTATTTACATATTTAACACTGCTTTTCAACATTTGATTAATAACATCGTATAAGCGTATCATTTTCGAAATTCCATCATTAAAGTCTTGTAAAAAACGATACCAGCTGACCTTTGCTTTGCATCATAAACCAATTTACTTTTTTTCTTACTAATTTTGTAATTTTTTTTTCAGTTCGTTTTTATTAGAACCAAAATCTAAACAACGTCATTTTTGTGTCAATACAACTTGACACGTTTCTTTTAATATTTTGTGTTTTTTTATTATTTTTAGCTACCTCAGTGATATTGTACTCAATTTACATATGCCTCACTGTAATTTCAAAAAAACGAAAAATTCGGTTCAATTTTAATAATTTATGATCCCATTAATTGTTGTAACGTTTAAATCACCGTGATCTTGATGTTTATGACACTTGAACTTGTTTTGATTTTGGTTATAATGTTTTATAATTTTGTATTGTTGTTTTCCCCTATTTATTTTTTTCCAAATTATTTCACAATAATACGCAAAATGAACCAAGAATTCACATTCATCAGAATCTTGTTTGCAATTATATGCTGTTTGTCAAAACACAAAAACAAGAGAGAAAAACACAATATAACAATTTACATAGCAAATAAGATAATTACAATATAAAAATGTCAACAAAAATTATCGGTAAATTCCAATTCAAAAATTTATTTTGAATCTAATTAATCTATATGCGTGAATTCAAATTTAAGAAAGAAAACCAATCAAAGTCTTTGCTTTATAAAATATCTTGTTTGCTAAATATCCCTTCAAATTCCAATTTATTTCCTCTATTATTAATTTTTTTTCTTTAAAGTTTTTTATTAATTTATTGTACAATTAATTTTATTTATAGACCGAAAAGGTGGTTACGTCGACGAATATGGTAAACTTAATTATTTTGAATTTTAAATATATTTCTTTTTGGGGATTGAGATACAGAAATATCTATACAAAAATTGTTTTTGCAATAGAAGGAGCGAAGAGGAACACATTTAATTTGTCTCCGTCATCTCCCCTTCTTGCCTTTAAACTCAGTTTTTATTTAATGAAATTTTCTGCGTCTGTCTCCCGAGATTCATAAAACACACATTTCTATACACCGAAACAATTTTCGAATCAATAATGAAAAAATATTTGTATACAAAACTACTGCGTTGATTTAGGTCCTTGCATTCTTTCAAAACTATTGACAAAAAACATTAAAATTATTGTAATTTTTTTTATTTATTTGAGTTTTACCTGCAAAAGTCCAAAAATATCGAAATTTTTCAATGAAAAGGAAATGCATATAGATGTAAATATTTACATACGGTTTTAAATACAAGAGTAAAACTGTTGTACGATCTAATAACCTTGTGAGTTATGTGTTTAGACATTAAACAATCGTGCCATAAATGTGTAGGGTATAAAAAAATACCATACAACATCTGTTTGAGCATAAATTTGTCTTATATTCGCCGAAGACCCCATAGATCTCCAAATATTTAAGATAGAGGGTAGAAATTTAAAATGGGATAAATCGGTCCACTTTTGGTCAAACTCCTATATACCAGTACAGGTCCGTTGTCAGTATTTTCAAGGCATTAGCTTAATTTTTTATGGCATTTCGAGCTCTTGAAAAGGCGAAAAACAATTATATAGAAAATGCTTAATATTGATCAACGTTTTGACATATTCTCCATACAAAGGCCCTGGCCCTATTTATGACATTGTTATGAATTTTTAATGGGGAAAAATCTTGTTTCCATAAAGTGTTTATAAAAAGTTTATGATTGTAAATTGCCCCATAGAAGGTCTGATCCGAATCCAGTGTTTAAAAAAATGCCTTAAATATGCCATACATTTTCCACTAATAAATAGTTTTTTTTATAAAAAAACAGGGATTCAGTCTAATATTTTGCAAAAAAAAAAATACAATTGGTATCCCAAATAACTCGCCAACACTACTGAAGTCACAGAAGATGCTAAAATGTTTATAAATTTGGAAAAATCACCCATATAAAACTCACACCTTATTTATTCCTGTACGTTGGAGGTTGTCGAACCTTTCTCCATAAAAGCTTTTCTGGGTCCATATATTTACATTAACCCCATTTCGAAATTAAATTTAGTATAGCCTTACGTGTGTAAAGTTTCATTGAAATCGATTCAGATTTAGATATAGCTGTCATATATATTTTCGTCCAAATTTAAGTAAATGGTGTACCAAAAACCCAAATACCTTCTGGTTGTTGGGACAAAATTTTGCAGAAATCCTTTATTGTAATCATTGTGGAAAATGTATGCTTCATTTCAAAATCAATTCCCAGATGAAAAATTTAGTAGTGTTCCCATATATATTTCATCCAATTCTAAGTAAATGGACAACAAATTATGCAGATTAAAGTATGCATTTCAGTAAAACGCTACAAAATTTCCAAAAACTACATTTTTAAGAACACAAAAATTAATTACATAAAAATTGCTTTAAAAGCATTTTATAACTATCATAAGCTTTAACGCAATCCACGAACATTCAGAAGCTTTAAATATGTAAATTTACAGCTGCCGTAAAAGCTTGAACTTATATTTTAAAAAATATACTATACGCTATATATTTCTTACGCTTTATTTAGTATGTAATATATATTTGTATATTCCATTTTTAGTTTTACTTATTATAAGAAAAACTAATTTTAAATGCTTTCTGTAAAACATTTTGCTAGTTTCTCTTTTAGAAATAACAAAACCTTGGAAATGTAAATACGAGTTCATTTGCCTAATCAAGTACACAGAAAAAAATGTTTTTACAGTCAATTATGGAATGCTTTGCCAACGTAGCAGTATAAAAGTGTAATACACAATGGTCAACAGAGTAGATGGCAGTCAATAAGAACCACATTTCTTTAAATTATAATCTAATTCAAGAAATAACATTGAGATAATCATCTAAAAAATATTTATTTCTAGTGACCTGGCTGTCATTCATGTTGACCAATGTGTAAAAGATACAAAAAATCATTACAATATACTTTTTCATTAAAATAAATTATCATACATTTTTCCATACCCCATTTTCACAAGAAAAGACAAAAAATTAATAACATTATAAAAAACATTTTACAGGTCGTTATCATCACATGCCCGTGCCATATGTACATGTTTCGGATAACCGTGAATTAGGTAAATATGTGCATATACCAAATCCTTATGATGGCGGTTATGGTCCATACAGTGGCACCAACATTCCCTATAACCATGATGCCCGTCCCTATGTGCATGATGACAAACCCTACGAGTAAGTTTAAAATTAAAAAATTAATTAATATTTGACAATTTTTCAAAAAATGTATATTTTTTACTTTCCAGTCACAATCTGTACACAGTAAGTAATGCTGATTTTAAAGTTCCCGAAATACAATTGGAATATGGTTTTCCCGATCATGAACCTATTATTGAAGAAACCACCACATTATCAAATCAATATGAATAAGAAAAAATCAACTGCACGATAAACCAAAATTTGATCATCAACAAAACATTTTGAAATAATACACAATATTCAGGCAGTCAACAATTTAATTATCACCACTCAAAACTCACTTCGCAAAACAAAATATTAAAAAAAAAAACAAATCAAAAAAATCATTTTTGTCAAAAACCATAACAGTTCATTGCATGATCTATGACCAATGTAAAGTTATATGTGTTATTAAATAAGTATTATTATTATTTTTGTATTATATATCTAATAAGAAAGCTTATCTAAGTTTTGTATTATTTAACCAACAAAAATGCAAAGAAAAAAGAAACTGTACAGTATTTAACATGCTCACACAAACATACATAAATGTAAAAATATCACACAACAAGGAAAAAATATCGAAAAAAGAAACAGCAACTGACTCATATTTGTCCATATTCTCACAACAATCGTCCCCAATTTTTTTATATGGAATGTGTAAATTTTCAAAATTACTACCCCCACTCACTGTGCATGCATGCTTCCCCACAAAAAAATAATCCCCAAACAAAAATTGTAAAGAACTTCGAAAAAAAATATTCAAAAATCAATTTTTCTGCTCTACTCCCAAACTTCCGGTCACTTTTACTCACCACAACAGAGTACCACAACCAAGAAACCTACAACCACTACAACAACCACCACCACAACAACTACCACAACCACGACTACACCACGCAGCATTCTCTTCAATTATGATGATGAAGGTCGCCATAAGATTTTGCATCAGGAAAATGAACGTAAAGCCGATAAATATGATCATGCGTAAGTCCTCCGCAAACTATTTACCCACATTTCTAATTTACTTACCTTCGCCTCCATGGTTTCCCCCTCTCACTTTATTCCCCTAGTTTCCTAACTGAGAACGGTATTTATGGTGAAGAACAGGCTAAACTACATCATACTGGAGGTACCCATGCTAAGGGTCGTTATGAATACACCGGTGATGATGGCAAACTCTATCGTGTCAACTACAAAAGTACCCACGAAGGTTTCGTGCCAGAGGGTGACCACATTCCCACACCACCCCCAATTCCAGAGGCCATTGCCCGTGCTCTGAAATATGTCGATGAGAAACGCAAGGCCAATGGTGAAAAACCTCTGTTCGATGAACGTGGTTTCCGCATTGATCACATGAGCAAGGACATGCTGAAGGAGATTAAGGCCATTCACATTGAAGAAATGCCCCGTGAAATTGCCGAACAAATCCATGAATTGCAATTGGAGATGGAAGCACTGTATGGCAACTTGGACGATGATGATTCCTATGATTACAACTAAAGAGAAAAAAAAACAGCCACCAAGACATAACTCATGGACCCCATTTCTAGAACTAGTGTTTAGGGGTTTTTAGAAGAAGTTAACGAACCAAGCTACGCTTTAAACCCATTTACATACTTTTTATAAATATGGACCACACTGATATTAGTTTGAAGGCCATATAAATAGCTTTTTTGTTTTGTTAGAAATGTTTAAGTTTTTTTCTGTCATTTTTTCATCGATTCACATATTTCCCCCCAAAACCCCTAATTCCCTCATGCCCCATATATCACATATACTTAATCCCAGTTCCATTAACTCATCACAATTTTTTATACGAAATTATTAAACATGCCAACAAAACTCATCTCAAAAACAAAAGAAAAAAGAAAACATGCTATAAAAATTAAGAAATTCATCCTTTTTTCTAGTTATTAGTTATTTATGAAAAACAACAACAACACACACAAACAACAATTGTTAGACTTTTATTAATTGAATATTTATAACGAATTTGCTAATTTTTATAGAAAATAAAAAAACAAGAAGAAAAAACCCAAGCGAAAGTATTTTTAATTCTTATCACACGAATTGCACATAAACCAGATTATATTAAACTTGCCACTTGATATATATTTTAAGAAGTCTAATCATCAATGTCATGATATTTTTAACAAACTGCAATATTGATATTGGCAAAAAGAAAACGGGTTTCCGAACAAGAAAGAAATTGAAATTAGATTTCTTGAACCATTATGGAATTATTAAGATGTATAAAACTGTCTTGAAGTAAAACTTTCAAAATTTATCAAAAACATAAAGAAATAATGCGTTGAATTCAGGTGGGAAACATTTGTGCTCGTTCCATCAGAGAATATACAAATATATAGAATATAAAAAAATGTAACCTATATCGAGACATTCAAGTGAATTTTAAAACTAAACTAAATTGCAGATATTCTGATGTCAAACTTTTCTAAAATATCTAAATACTTAAAATAACGAAAATTGGATGTCATAATTAACTACAAACCAATTTTCATATCTTTTGGAAAGAAATTTTGTAAGTGATGGGAAAAAATATGAATTAGGTCTAAAACAAGAACAAATTCTTAAAAAAAAAAACTACCAAACTAACCGTTATAACCAAAACAGGCACTGACAGAGATCCGTTTTTTACTGTTTCGTACCTAAATAGCAACCTAAGTATTGAATTACTGGCAAACGTTTTAAAAACGTTCACATTTTCGAAAACTGGGGTATTCCTAAACAAAAATTAAATAATAGTGAATATAAATAGTCAATTCCATTGCATATATAGCATTTCCACATTAAATGAAACCTTTTACAAATTAAATGAACCCTTTTCCAAATTAAATGAACCCTTTTCCAAATTAAATGAAACCTTTTCCAAATTAAATGAAACCTTTTCCAAATTAAATGAAACCTTTTCCACTTGAAATGAAACCTTTTACAAATAGAATGAAACCTTTTCCAATTGAAATGAAACCTTTTACAAATAGAATGAAACTTTTTCCAAATTAAATGAAACCTTTATTCTTATCTAAGGAAATATAATATTTGCACTAATTTTAAATCAATATTTGAAAATTAAATCAAAGAATATTAACAAGTATAGTTGTATGGCTATGTAATTAACATAAATATTCTTTAATTCGGTGTGATTTCATTTAATATCTTTACTACATAAAACTAAATAAATAGTAATACAAACTGGGGTATTTCTTGACATTTTAATAAATAAATATTTAAGAACAAGAATTGAATACCCGGTCCTAAATGCGAAATACATATTTGACTTAATAAATTGTTGATGATAAGGTAACTGCTTATCTTAATGAAGGGGTTCCCGACTTGCAGCTTGTGGGATTTTCAAAACCATGTCCATAACGTAGTTAGAACAATCTTGCCGAGTAAGCTTTTGAATACTTCGCTCGATTACATCAACAATGTTATGTTCCATTGAAACGTCACACAGCTCAGCTCTTGCACATAATTTTATTTTTGAAAATGCATTTTCGATTGGATTTAGCATTGGAGAATAAGGTGGTAAGAATTTAAGGTTGCATCTTTTGGATTCGATCAAATTTTTTATGTCATGTCGCTTGTGTATTTGAGCGTTATTTTCCAACTCTGGATTGATTTTCTCAAAAAAAAAAAAATTCTATAAATAATTTAAATCTGTCTACATTGACACTGGAATTAGAAACGATTGTGTGATGTACAACTCCCGCGTTGTTTATTGCTGCAATTATAGTGACATTACGACCTCTGGCCGTAGGCAACACAATGTGTGCTCTTGTTCCTTGTCTTGAACGGGCTTGGGTTCTTCGTATGTGAAGATTAAATCCACACTTATCAATGAATATAAATTTTTCTCCTTGTTGGGGTATCCATTTTGTAAAGTCTTGAGCATATTTTTGTCTCAAGCCTAATGTTCTGGATTCATTCTTTCGTTCTATTTCAATAGAGGCCATCTTAAACGTAATTTTTAATTTCCGTAATCCATATTCTATGCAGCTTGTGGAAATATTTATATCATTTTCTCTCAACAGTTTAGTTTTTATGGCTTTGAGGGTAATTCCAGGTTGACTTTCTACATAGAACTCGATCAGACTTAAAACTTGTGATGTCAACAACTTAATTCTATTTCCTCCACGCTTATTTTCCTTCAATGTTCCAAAATTTTGTTTGTAATTACTTCACATTGTCGAGAGTTTACTGTTTTGGATGTTCACATTATCGAGAGTTCACTGTATTTAAAAATAGCAACGTTTAAAATAAATGCGAACCTGATTTTAGCTCGGGAAGCTCTGATAATTGGGAACCTGAGGAAGAATCAATATCCTCGCCAAGTATTGCAAGTGGAAATGCTCTAGAACCTACCGAAGCTACATCTACAAGACCCCGAAACAAATTGGGTCAGTATAACAAAATAACAAAAGACATGAAATTGTTATTATTTAAATTCTATGAAGAGGGGAGAACCATTTCCGAGGCTGCAAATTTAACCTGCATAAACATAAATTCCGAAAAAACATTTATAAGAAGATACAAACAAAATTTTGGAACATTGAAGGAAAATAAGCGTGGAGGAAATAGAATTAAGTTCTATGTAGAAAGTCAACCTGGAATTACCCTCAAAGCTATAAAAACTAAACTGTTGAGAGAAAATGATATAAATATTTCCACAAGCTGCATAGAATATGGATTACGGAAATTAAAAATTACCTATTGAAATAGAACGAAAGAATGACTCCAGAACATTAGGCTTGAGACAAAAATATGCTCAAGACTTTACAAAATGGATACCCCAACAAGGAGAAAAATTTATATTCATTGATAAGTGTGGATTTAATCTTCACATACGAAGAACCCAAGCCCGTTCAAGACAAGGAACAAGAGCACACATTGTGTTGCCTACGGTCAGAGGTCGTAATGTCACTATAATTGCAGTAATAAACAACGCGGGAGTTGTACATCACACAATCGTTTCTAATTCCAGTGTCAATGCAGACAGATTTAAATTATTTATAGAAATTTTTTTTTTTTTTGAGAAAATCAATCCAGAGTTGGAAAATAACGCTCAAATACACAAGCGACATGACATAAAAAATTTGATCGAATCCAAAAGATGCAACCTTAAATTCTTACTGCCTTATTCTCCAATGCTAAATCCAATCGAAAATGCATTTTCAAAAATAAAATTATGTGCAAGAGCTGAGCTGTGTGACGTTTCAATGGAACATAACATTGTTGATGTAATCCAGCGAAGTATTCAAAAGCTTACTCGGCAAGATTGTTCTAACTACGTTATGGACATGGTTTTGAAAATCCCACAAGCTGCAAGTCGGGAACCCCTTCATTAAGATAAGCAGTTACCTTATCATCAACAATTTATTAAGTCAAATATGTATTTCGCATTTAGGACCGGGTATTCAATTCTTGTTCTTAAATATTTATTTATTAAAATGTCAAGAAATACCCCAGTTTGTATTACTATATATTTAGTTTTATGTAGTAAAGATATCAAATGAAATCACACCGAATTAAAGAATATTTATGTTAATTACATAGCCATACCACTATATTTGTTAATATTCTTGGTTTTAATTGTCAAATATTGATTTAAAATTAGTGCAAATAGTATATTTCCTTAGATAAGAATAAAGGTTTCATTTAATTTGGAAAAAGTTTCATTCTATTTGTAAAAGGTTTCATTTCAATTGGAAAAGGTTTCATTCTATTTGTAAAAGGTTTCATTTCAAGTGGAAAAGGTTTCATTTAATTTGGAAAAGGTTTCATTTAATTTGGAAAAGGGTTCATTTAATTTGGAAAAGGGTTCATTTATTTTGGAAAAGGGTTCATTTAATTTGTAAAAGGTTTCATTTAATGTGGAAATGATATATAGTTTCGTCCGATTTTATGTAAATGGTGGACCAAACTCCCAATGTTTGTTCAATTCGGACAACATTTTGCACAATATACTGAATTAGGACCACTTTGATGACTGCCAAGTTTTGTTGAAATCGGCTAAGATTTAGATATAGCTCTCACATATAATTTGGTCCGAAGGTGCAACAAAATCCCAATATTTGTGCGATTGAGACAAGATTTTGAACAGCGTGCTGA